TTACACCAGGTGGCTCTTCGGAGGCAATGATTCTGAGGCTCCATCTAACATACTTTGGACATGTTGTAAGAAGAGACTGGTTCTTGGAGAAGGACATCATGCTGGGGAGGGTGGAGGGACAGCGCAGGAGGGGAAGGCCCTCTATGAGGTGGATTGATTCAGTGACTGGGGTAATTGGGATGGGAGTGTATTGGCACAAGACAGAGCAGAGTTTAGGGCTGTTGTGCATAGGGTTGCTATGAGTCACAAGCGACTTGACAGCACATAACAACAATATAATTTTTAAAAATACATGGGAAGAGATATTTATGTCTCTAATATATAAAGAACTATTTATTACAACTAATAAGAAAAAGACAGTTTGAAAATGAGTGAAAGATCTGAATAGACTTGTCCAAGGAAAGTCAACAGATGGCCTATAAACTCTGAAAATATACTCAGCATCACTATTCAGCAAGGATATGCAAATCAAACCACTTTTGACCCACCAGCAAGGCTAGAATGAGGATCTGTTAAGGTAAATGTGTGGAGAAATCTGAATTCTCATCCTTTGTAGATGGTGCAGTCCTCTGTAGGCAACAGTTTGACAGTTCCTCAAAGAGTTAGCATATAGAATTAGCATACAGTCCTGCAGTTACAACCCTACATACCTGCCTAAGAGAAATTAAAGCATACCCACACAAAAACTTGTCCATGAATATTTATGGAAGCATTACTCATAATAGCTGAAAGGTGGTAAAAGCACTGCTTTGTTACTGCTTGCTGATAGAACTAAGACTTAATTAAACAAAGACCAGAAGCAACATTCTGGGATTCTATTCAGAGAGCAGTACTATCCTCGCAAAGTCATTCAGGGCTTGTGCCTGGGGTTGGGCTAGTTTCCCTGCCCTGCACTCTGTTACCACACTCATTAGCCTGTAGGCCCTTGAGGCAGGGGTTTATTTTAACAAAATTAAGAGAACACTTCATGTAATTATTGTGCACATTATTTTGTTGCTAAACGTTATTCTTTTGCATTAAAAACATGTTATTGTCCAAATTGTTTTTCAGTTACATTGATTTGTTGTTGTTGTTGTTGTTGTTGTTGTGAGTAGCCTTTGACTCATGGCGACCTTATGTACTACAGCCCTAAACCCTGCTCTATCCTGTGCCAATCGCATTGCCTCTGACACATCTACCCCCATTGCCCCAGTCACTTAATCAATCCTTCTCATTGAGGGTCTTCCTCTCTGGCACTGATACTCTGCTGAAAAACTACATCCCTTGGAGTCTAATTACCTTGAGTTTCAACTTGATGACAAGAAGAGTTGAGTCTAATAGGTCACCATTTAATCTAAAGCAAAAATAATAAGGGCACACTAATGGCAATGTTGTTTCAAGATTGTTGTTGTGTCCCATAAGGTCAAAACTGACCCATAACTGACTTCGGGTTTTCTGAGGCATTACATCATACAGGAGATTGCTCTTCTTTTCTCCAGTGGATCTGGTAGATTTGAACCACATGCCTTTGGGTTGACAGGACAGCTCCTTATTGCTAGGCTACCAAAGCTCTTTTGACACAATGTAGAAGATGAAATGAAGGCTATTGGCCCAAGGGAAGTAACTTGCTGTGAAAACTGTCATTAAAACCACAATAACATATTATTCAAACAAACAGTAGTTTAACTTAGCTGGTGGAGACTATCTGCCTTGAGCATTGTGTGGTCTTTGAAGATCTGTCAGTGATTCAGGATTCTGTAGGGAACTTAAGGAATAGTGAAGTCGGTGGAACAACTCTGATAGAATAAGAAGGGTTACACAACTGGAAGAAGGCAATCAGTGTCACGTGTTAATTTTAATATGGACCATTTAATGAGTAGGTGTTTTTCTATGTATATTCTTTTTTAAAAGTTTTATTTATTAATCTTAATGAAAGTTTACAGAGACTTTGGATTTCCATTCTCTTCTGTGTATATTCTCAACAACAGCAACAAAATAAACGTAAAAAGACAAGTACCACAGGTTTACTCTGACACATGCAAGGTCACTATGAGTGAGTTTGCTCAGCTTGGCAAATGGCCACATGAACATGGTGATTTTCAAAGTCCAGGTCTCTAACCCTGAGGGTTTTGCTTCAAAGGCACTGATGGATGTGGGGGACAGTAGGTGAGAGAGAGTAACATACAGTGCAGTGTTTCTGCCTGCTATCCTGCAGCTGTGATGTTACATTAGTGTGTGTGTGTTTCTTTCTAGGAAGGTGCTTTTGTCTACCTAGCTCTTGTAGGAAATGTTGCCGACTCAGAGGGTGTGCTTGCTTCATTGTGTAAGTACTTAATGTGTAAGTAATTAAAATTAAAGCTGTTTGTCCCTTGAAATTAATTGCAAGTGTTGCCATCAGTTAAATGTGTGTCTGTACATAGTGTATGATTTCATTTCTATGAAACGTCCAGAATGAGAGCATCTTTAGGGAGTGAGAGTGAACTGGGAAGAATCCCTTGGGTGGTACAGACAGTTCACAGGGGAAAGCACTTGGCTGTTAACCAAAAGGTGGGAAGTTTGAGTCTTCCAGCAGTACCAAAGAAGGAAAGCCTGGTGATCTACATCTGAAAAACTGGCCAGTGAGAACTCTGCATTACAATTCTGCCTGTCACACATGGAGTTGACATAACTCAGATGACTCAAGATAGCGAATGACAGGCCAGGAGTTTGGGGGGACATGAGAAGTCACTACCACTGAGTATGGATTTCTCTTGGGAGTGAAGGAAGGATTCTAAAATTAGATTGTGGTGACAGCTGCACAGCTCTGTGAATATATTAACCCCTGGATCATGCAGTAAATGGGGGAAGTATACAGAATTATGGGAATTCTACCTCTGTGAGGCTGTTAAATACTGTTTGCCAAAACTGGCAAAGGATACTGAATATCCCATGGACTTCTGTGAAAGGAGCAGATGCAACATGAGGGTGCCCGGGTCTGACTTCTACCTGCTTCATAAAGTGGAACTTTCTCCATCAGTAACATCTGTGGTACTAAACAAATAACGACATGGTCAGACATGCCACCCTACATGCTCCTGGGCCTATTTCTACCAATTACTGGCTTCAGTGTTCGTTGCAAATTGGCTCACAGAATTTACTAACAATTGTGGGGTTTATTAAGGAAATAGGCTAAGGAGTGGAGGAGGCAAAGAATATCACACAGTGCAAGTCCAGGTTTAGTCCAGTCATCCCAAACTAGATTAACAAGGCACAGTTCCTTAGTTAGTTCATACAGCTTCTCAGTCAACAAGTGGAAGTCTAGGTTCAGTTCAGCAGCACAAATAAACTCCCAAATCATTGATGTTTAATCCAAACTGACTCATAACTGACCTCTTGGTTAGTAGCAGGACACTTAAGCGCTGTGTCACCAAGTCTCTTTCTCATTCTCCCAGGCTCACTTAAGTACCGCTGCCTCCACACCCCAGGCTGTCCACCGCCATCACAATTCTAATCCCGTGGGTTTGAGTTTACAGGTGGTGGGCTGCTTAAGGCTATCTCTGCCTTCTCTAGACCGGGCTTAGAGCCTCATGGTGCTCAAACTACTATGGAACAACTAGGAAAGACTCAGCAGGACTTGAAAAGACTGGGTGATAGTGGGCACTGATCAATAGTGATTACATTTCTAAAACACAGTGTGTGGGAATGATCATTTGAAACAAAATGTGAATGAAAGAATGGGCAAAAGACAAGGTTTATAAATGAAATGCAATGTCTATGACTTTTGTATTTGAACCAATATAAAGTAAAAATAAATTTTAAAAGACTGCTACGGAACAGTTTTGTCAAATCAGTCTATAAATGAATGGGAAAATTAGATAGAGATAAATGTATGTAAAATATTCATGTCTAAAAACCTAATTTCTTTATTCATAAATTGTGACATTTTGTTAAATTATTATTTTCTTAGACATTGGATTCTAGCTAGTTCCTTTGACTTTGAGTATGTATTTCAAGTTAGGGGGAGCATTTCAATATGACATTGTTTTCTAGTTAGTCTGATCATTCGGTAACTCAGCAGACAGCCAGGTAGGGGCAGTGGGTACAGGGCCTGCTGTTTACTTCTGGCTGTTCACAGAATCTCCTCTCAGTATGAGTCTTGGGAATAATCTCATTTAAGGTTTGTTGACCATTTTGCCCCCTCATAGCAGCCTTTGCATTGGAAACCTTTGCCCCGATCCCAAGGATTCTATCCTCTGGCCATTGAGAGACTGGACCTTTGTACTGGTCAGACCGACAAGTACAGTTAATTTTTTAC